AATAGTACAATATCAGGTATTTGAACTTAGTTTCATAATAACACATTAATAGTAGATGAAAAGAAAGCCGTTTAAATGCAGTTTTCCAATTAAACTAAACAGCTCTGTACTCAATTGAAAATTAACGGTGTGCCATTGACTTATATTAAGGTCACAAATTGTTTAGGTATTTCAATTCACTCAAACCTTACATGGAACGTTCATGTAAATGAATTGAATACGAAATTAAGTTCTTTATGCTTCGCTATAAGAATTCTTCCAAATTCAGTCAGCCTTCACACTACTCGTTGTGTATATTTCGCGAATGTTCATTCCCGTCAGAGATATGGCATAATATTCTGGGTCTTATAGCTCCCAGACTTTTAAATTACAAAAACGTATTGTACAAATAATATGCAAATCCCACCCTCGTAATTCTTGTAAGCCTTTTTTTATTAATCTAGGTATTATACCATTACCTTGTCTCTTCATATATGAATCAGTGGTTTTTGTCAAAAAAGATTTACTTAAGGGTGAGAATATATTTTTAGCAAACGCCGTTCTATAACTACCACACGCCAATCTATAAGTACAACACTCGACGTAGTAATTATATTCATCAGGGGGACAGTATCAGCAGCTCACTACAGAACATTAGCATACAATACATGTACATTATTTTACAATACCTTGCCAGATGACATTAAACGATTAAATTCGATGCAAAAGTTTAAGTCTCAAGGGAAAATGTTGGTGCTGCACAACTGTTACTATTCTATTACAGACTATACCGAGCATCCAAAAAGAAAGTAATATTAATTTTAACATTTAGTGTATTATTTACCATTTGGATTGTATAATTCTAAAGAACCAGTAACTAGTATTGTATTTCAAGTTTTGGGACAATGACTCCCATCTCGATCACGTTTTATTCCTGTTTCCCTATTCCTGAGCACATGCTGAGATGGCCCTTTGTTTTGCTTCAAGACATAAATTCAAACAATAATTCAAATTAACTTCTCCCATAGCATATCACACATAGTTTTTAACTGTTCTGGCGTAAATAAATACATAAACTGGCACCTAGAAAACATTTGTACTATTTTTCGGTCCTCTAATGGAAAAATTGAAATGACTTTATATTACAGAAGGGTAAAATTTGGTCCATGAAAAATTTGGAGCGGTTTTTTGAGAAAATGTTGTTTGAGCGTATGTGAAAACACTCCACAGAATAAAATTAAAGAAAAAATTTGGTGCTATTTTGGAGAAAAATGTCTCTTTAGTGTGAACTATCTTAACCCTTCGGTGCACTTAGTGAGGCTCAGGCTGTGTTTCTTAATGCTGCAAATATTTTTTCGTTAACATTACAAGTGTGTCATTTTATGATACTCTCTTTTGTTGACTTTCTTTTCTTCGTTGAAAAAGACAAAGAATAGTTCAGTAAGCCATTAATGTTTTTCAACGTTTCTGCAAGTAGTCGTGGTTTCCACTAAATGAGCCCCCCAGGCCCGCTAGTCTGTTTTCTCTTAACGGATCTTGTAACACATAGGAAACACATTTATATTGTTGGATTTTAGTCCTTTTGATTCTAGACTTCGTCATTTACTTGCCAAGAGACCCAAATCATGAACACATAAATATAGAGTAAATAGTTTTTAGTGCTGGGATTCTAGCAACGCATTTACACTAAATGGCAAAATATGCTACGGAAAAAGGGAATATGTTGCAAAAAATTTTGCATCGAAAACTGTAAAGTATTTGGTACAATCATTACTCACTGGTAGTTATAACTTTACAACTGATAACGTTTTGAAATTCTTAGAGTTTTTAGTAATAACTTTTTACGTCCATGTTTCTGGGTGAAGGTCTGATAGAGACGAAACTAACATTACGAGCTAACACGCTGGAATTACCACCTGAACTGTGAGATCGATCAACAGTTACACATCTTGACGGCATAGACGGCAAGATTGACTTTAATGCTTTAAATGCGTACGTAATCTTCACAGCAATTATTGATGACTATTGTCAGTGGGAATGGGGTGTATGCAACTGGCAGAGGAGTGTTCCCGTTCTAATATGATAAGATGCTAAGATGAAAAGATGTCCTCAAACGAACCCTAATTGCTCTTCAAGTCTTCAGAATTCACAGAGACACAAGTTGGGAAGTTATATAAATCATTTCCAAAGAAAGTAAAGAAGTAAGGCGAATATTTCCAAATATTAATATTGTGGTAAAATTGGATTAAATTATTTCTATTGAGATTGTTACTTTCTTTCAAGGTGCTATTTATGCCTCTTCAGAAAAGACAAAAAACGAAACCACAGTGATTCGTGGACGAAAATAATTTTTTCCCAGAACATTACAAAAACAGTATTATTTGTTGTAGTTTCAAATAAAATGAGTAAAACTCCTTATTGTACATTAAAAGCTTAAAATACAAGTTTATTTAATAATAAAAATTATTGCATTCATTATTTCTTTATCCCGGTCCGAAATTAGTGTTTCATTCAGACCGGGTCTCTGAGGCCCACTAAGTGGAAACTCGCAAAATCCAAGCTCTATTAATCGACGGGTTAAACGGCTTTTGAGCATTTTTGAAAATGCAACATTTGAAGCTCATTTTCGCTGATTAATTTTGAGTTTTCGAGAACTTCATACGACATCATTTAAAATTATTTTAGTAAAAAATGCGATAATGTATACAAATCACCCGTAACGTAAGTATTAACGACATTAGAGAGATATCAAATAAAATATATTCGTATTTTTTAAACAACAAAGAAATTTTTTTACTGTTTTTTATATTGCCCATATTTCAAGAGAATTGCTCGAAAACTATATTTTTAATGTACATGACCTTAATGAAAACTAATTTAAAAGAACAAATTTAATTTGAAGAAAAATATCAACAATGTATTTGTAGGAAAAACTCGAAAAAATTCAGACCTCAAAAGGGACCAACAATGTATTACTATAAGGAAACGCTAAAACATGATTATCCTTTAAAATCTTTAAATCGATTTTTTTCACTATTACGTAATTATTGCTATATTACATATATTCCTCCGTATATGTGAAAAAGTGAAAATTAACAGTGAAAAAGTAGAATATTAGAGATAGCATTGTTTTGTTAAATTAAGTTGTTTAAAAACTCTTTATGACTTAAGCGTCGTTTAGAACTTAACTTTAAGAAAGGTCCATTACAGTTTTCAAAAATATTAGTAGTGTAGCCCAATTTTGCAATTTTCGAATTTCCCCGCATTTCCTTTGAATCTTTGAGGAGTTGTCACACTGCATCAGTAACACGCGTTCAAACGGTAGTTTGAAATTCTCAGAATAACTTCTCATTGTTAGGTGGTGTTTCTTGGTCTATGAAACGGAGTTTTGCGTTGTCGAATACGTGTTTATGTATTACCTTTAAATAAATGATTTTTGTTTCGCCTAATGTTCTACGATTGGTAATAAGTTCAAGAAGTGATGGCTGATGTTAACATGGGCGGAAGTGTGGTGACAGAAATTGACGTAACTATTACTAACGCGAGAAAGTACGTGCAGTGTACACCACCACTAAGTTTGAACTTATGACCAACATCAATTACCTACGCTGCTAAGTAAAGCATTCATTCTAATTTAAAATATTCGAGTAATTTATGTATCTACAAGGAAGATCCAACTCCCATGATGTAAACACTACCTAATTTTACTTAGTATTACTATTATATCAAACATTCATAAAGACGTGAGCGGAGACTTTCTGTCAAACTAGTAATAAACAAATCCGAAACTTCCAACATTTGTTTTAGACCACAACTAGGAACAATTCAATAGAGAGAAAGTTATATGTTAAGTTGTCTAAGTTGAGTTTAACACTGAAGGAAAATACACACTATGAAATGTCTACTAATCACAACATGCGTCACATCCAAACTGGTATTTTCTGATCCAAGATGCAGGCAAACATAAAATGCTCATAGACCAGTTGCATTATTTATATCAATTCTTTGGCTGAAAATAATTAAAGGTGAAATAAAATTGGCCTGTATTGTTACAGACCATTTTGGCTAACTGGCAACCATTTTGTGAAATGTAATGAAGTAAGGCAACAATCTGACTTAACCAAAAGACAAACACAATTTTTCATTTGTGGTTAGCATTTCTTTGAATTGATATTAAAGAAATAATTGAAATTATATTCATTGCAAAATATATTGTTCAAATAACACATACTAGTTAAAATCTCTAAATAGTATGATGGTAATATAATAATACTGCTAAGTTCTAAACACATTCCCCGTTTTTTACAAGAGGTCCTATAACTGGAAAAGTCTTGAAACTATGACGCCCCAAAAAGGGAATTATGGTAAATGACACGCTATCTCAATAAAAAGTTAATAATTGGCCAGCAATATGCAGACAATAATTGCAGACTTACTGTCCTTAATTGTTCTTTTACAAATGCTAAACAAGTTCAAGAATGACAATAGCACCTACTTCCGAAATTTATTCAAGTTAAGAATGAACTAAATAAATTCGACGCATTGGTGATATGTCATTCTTGAATTGAAATTAATCAGTTGTTCATTGCAGACAATTCTTTCACAACGTTCAAAAGGATGGAAAAAAATTCCACAGTTTCTGGGTACTGAAAAAACTGAAATACTTCACTATGAAAGAAACAAATTCTGCCTTAAAGTAACTTGATATTTTATACACACTGAATTGATTTTTTATTTATACAATTTATATTTATTAACCTTTTTTGTTTTAATACTTGCCACAATTTTTGAGAGATAAGAGTTGAGAGTGAACAGGTATTCAGAATTCAGCTGATATTTAAATTTACTCTGCAGCAACACACATTTAAAAATTACTTTTGAATTCATAACAGCGAAAATGGCATAAGTAATTATATAAATGTAATAGCAAGTGCACTTGGAATGTGTTTAATAAACTATTCAACTACTTTCTTGAATTAAATATAATTTGTAATATGTAAAAGTTAGAAACAAAAGAGTATTTGTATGAGAAGTACTGCTAAGAGAATCATTCAAGAAAAATAATGCATAATTTTTTATTGAGCAAATATTATTACAATAAATTGAAAATCCCTTTTTGACAATTGTATCATAGAAATCATTTGTATTTTTATTTGAAACAAGGAGAGTATATCTCCAGAATTACTTACTTTTGAAAACAGGTTATGAATGTGATAATAAACTTGCTTGTAAATGAGACAGTAAATTAGTAAAATCAAAGTAATGAAACAATATTTAAACATTAGTAAATAAACCAATGTCATTTTATCACCTGTGAACAGTTTGGTTGCATATAAAACATCAAGTAAGACATAAAACAAAGACGGGAGAGAAATTCAAATTGCTCAATTTAATTATTTTTGTTCTCTAATGTTGAAAGAAATATCTTCAATTCTTTCTAACGAAGGTTTTTAAAAGATTTTCTCTGCATCTTAAGCTCCTTCATCGTCTTGCTGCTCTTCTTCATCTCCCGGAAAGTTGTCCAAAGTTGCTCGCAACAAATTTAATTGATTTCTCAGGCTCTGCTGAATACGTTCAAGTTTTTCATGCAGAGTTCGCAGCAATTCTTGTATTACTCTTTCTTGCCTTTCAGCCTCGCGATGCTTGCGATTCAATTCTGCAATTCGGTCGCCAGCAACCATCTTGTTCTTTTGGATTTGGAATCTGGAAACAAAGAGTAAGGAGTGTTCAAAGGTTTGAACTTACAAGCGTGTTGCACAAGTACGTTAATAATACTATTTCGATCGTTTATAAATTGTAAAGGTAACAAATATCATTATTCAGTCTATTTTTGCTATCAGAAGCATGTAGGGAACATTTACAAATTACATTCTAAGTTTTATATTATTGATATCTTCGTAAAGTAAGAGGTAACGTTTGAGATTTATCAACATACCTGAAAACGTATTCAAGATAACTGTGAAGAATTCAGGCTCTCTCAAAAAATAAATCCAATCTACCAAATGATAATCACATAATTGATAACTTTTAATTTGAATCCTTATATTGTTTTTTGACTAGATGTATTTTAAAATAATATTAGTTTTGAAGCTCTTGAGCGCAGGATAAGATATAGTTTAACATTTCACAGAAAATTAAACCAATAATTGTATTCGCACATCCTAGAACTCACTCGGATAAGTTTATTTCGCTTAAAACAATTTACAAATGAGTTCGTATATGAATCATTTATATATTTTCTTTATGATTTATTTCATTGTATATTAGAATTAAAATTGCAATATCTGTAGCAGAATGGACTGCTGTTAGTGAAAAACACAATTAGAATATAAAATAGTGCGTGATTTGACACATAATATTCTCGTGACCAACAACTCTAAACCCATCGAGCATTTTGTGTATCTGGTTCATTACTAGGCCATTGTGATTGACTATGAATGTGTGTGAAATCAAGATTCCAAGATGTATTCACTTTGATTACAGGTACATATGAAAATAACTGGCTAAGCGTATCGAACGTATTTAACTCACAATCTTGTTGTTCCGTACAATGAAAGCAAAAATATAGTTTTACTTACATTTGTGTAATAATTACAAAAGAAAGATGAGAGCGATGAGTCGTGTCAGACACTATACCCTTTCACCTACGTCACTTCCACTGACGATTGGTAAGAGCAGGGAATCAACCTAACAAATACTTATCATCAAACAGTGTTACCAAAAGTCAAATTTGAAAATATTTCTTATAGCTACATGTAAACTCTTTGGAATTTGTTATAAAGGTAAGTAAATATATTTGTAAAATATTAGAATACATTATTTGGCTAATTAATTTGATATACGAGTACTTTGCTGTCATACATACGTAACCTCAAGAATGTTAAAGAGATTTAAAACTCTATTTCTGACACTTCAACTTGAGAAGGGCAAGAGGACATTTTGACTTGTATTCAGCAACTTTCAATAATTTTGTTGGGAAGAAAATAATCTGAGAATGTTTTGCGAATGAGATTTATATTTCAACTGTAATTTTAAATCATCAAATTGAAAACAAATCGATGCCGTACTGACCAAAATTGTCCAGGTGAACAGATTAGGAAAGAAATATCTGGAGACTGTACCACATTGTAACAGAGCAGATGTGTCAACTCATTGGTTTTTCCTCGGAATTTCTGAAACCAATTTGAGGCTAGTTCCTGGCTTCACCGAACGGTGCGCTGGATGCTACTTCGGTATTTATGAGGGAGTCACGCGGATGAAATAACTAGATTTTTAGTTTTTTACACATACATTCTGCAAATGTTGTACTAATTGTGTATTCAAAATATTTACGAACTTTTCAATAGTAATGTGGAAAGAAAAAACAATACTAATTTTATCCTTTCAATATATTCATTAATTACACAATTTAACGCTTGAATAATTTTAGCGGAAGAGGTGGCTCAGGGCATTAACTGATGTCACTGAAGTGCTTCTGACCGGGGGGTCCTAGGTTCGAGTCCAGTCGGTGGCAGGAATTTCGACACTAGCTAGACAGCTAGGTCGAGGTATGTTGCAATATAAAGGAGAATTCTAGCGGCCGGGTCTACTCGGTAGTTTTTCGTGGTTTCTGAAGAAGAATGCAACTCGTAAAGTACTCTCACAAACGGGCCACAGACTGCGCCGCATTCCTTGTCCTATCCTACCCGTTACTTACACACACCACACACACTTTCGTGAACTGCACTACCCCATTCGCCTAGAGACCAGTCGGGAGTTTAGAGCCTGTGTCGGCTGCGGCAGTGCCACTCTGATGGGAAATATCTGCTTGGGGGGAAACACGGTAGCTAACGGTTGGCGCCTGATCTCACCACCCACACGGAAGATCAACTCCACCTTTCAAGAAAAAGCACGAACTGCACTTACGGGACTAATGCCCTTAACCGTTGACACGCCCAAAATCACAAATCAATCTTCGACTATTTTTCAATTTATTTTACATAGATAATGAATACTTTGGTGGGTTAGATTTTCTCAATATTTATTGAATAATATTTTAAAAATTACTTTCATTATTTATTTTACAGTACAAAAATAATTTTTACTACATGTTCCTGTCACTTTTTTCACAATCATTTATTCATTGAAGTGCCTTTCGCGAAAGTATTTTTTCTGTTTAATTTTCGTTTTTTGTGGCGCAACTTGTACCTATTTCTTTTGAATGTCTACTCGCTTCGAAACGGAAAATAAAAATACTTGATAAGGCCAAATCTCCATGACCATTGCACGTTGTAAGAAAACACTATTGAACCGTTTTTTCAAACTTTTATATTTAATTTTCCACTAAGTTATCCATTATAACGTGCGAGTCTTTTTTTTGATGGCGGGTAATGCGAGCGGCTGATGTATTTTTCCGTTGTAAACAAACACGAGTCAGCCTCTTCCTTGGAGTCTTGTTGTCACATGATTGTGTGGTAAGTAGTGTCGTATTGAGTGTGAGAATTGAGTCAGAACGCGCAGTATGGACATAGGTGGAAGAAAGCAAACAAATATTTGCATTTCTCATACAAAATCGGTACTGAATCATTAGTTTTGTTTCCCCCGACATCCTGGGCATCTAAGGAAACTAAATCTCTCTTAGATGGCCGGAAGCTGCATAGTTTTCTTTCGATTTCTGTGCGCATTGGGAATTAGTTATATAAATATTTGAAGAGGACATGGCAGGATAGGGTATTGACGGGAAACGAGTGATGCATTATAAGCGAGGCTGTGTATACTTAGGTTTTTATTTCTTGGCGCGTGAGAACATGTCTTCACGATGAAGTATCTCACGCCATTTCGCATCTTTCTCAGTCGTGCCGCTGGATGTCGCCTGATCGCCAGCACTGCTCCATACGGTCGCGATCATGCGAGTTCAAACGGTACGAGAGAAAAATACGCGAAACGTTGTGTGTCATTACATCATGAAGACAGGCCCTCACGCGCCAAGAAATAAAAACCCAACCATAAAGGCGTTTTACATGGTAAAATTTTCGTTCTGATTCTCCCACAGACGCTATAGCGAAACATCAAGAACGCGAACTCAAGGGTGGGAACATATTTTAACCAATACACCGGCTTATATGGTTCAGAGCATCAATGGATGTCACTGTAGGGCCTCTGACCGGGATGACCTAGGATTCGGGTCCCGACGGTGGCAGTATTTCAGACTAGCTAGGTGGAATTTAACCGTTTTCTGGAGGAGAATTGTAGTGGCCGGCTGCTTCAATCGATAATTTTCCGTGGTTTCTGCGATCAATATCAGACGAATGCCGGAGCAGTACCCTAACAAACGGGCCACGCGCGATATTTCCGTTTCATTTATTATCCTACCAACTTACACAAACATGCACTAAACTACCGCACGAGTCGGGAGATAGGCCGGGAGCTTAGAGCTTGTCCCGGCTGGGCCTCGCTGTCACCTAGTTGGGGAAAACCCCGCAAGTCGGCGCGTAGATCACCGGTGGATATCGCTGTCCACCGGGAGATCACCGCCATCTTCCGCGATAAAAGCATGCACTACACTCACGGGACTAGTGACTATCGTCGCGTCGAGTAAACCAATCCTTTAGTGAAGATTCTGCCGATAGAAGCGATTGAGTCAAACTGTAAGCTTTCTGCACGACAAAATTACGAACATGCTTAAAAATTTTCATGCAGAAAACGTGCAGACTGGACTGTCTGGTCGGGACTGCACCGTTTATAGCAGTCTTAACCCGTGACGTAGTGATCATATTCATCAGGTGAATCTTGAGTTCAGTACGAAAAATTCATATGAAAAACATTCCCATACAATACAAACTATATTATTTTACATTGCATTACATTTGACGACAGGAAAAGGAAAGTAATATAGTGTTTAACAAAGATATCACACATCCTCAAAGTAAACACTGAAAAAAGAAGAAATTACAATATTCGTCAATGAATCATCACAGGCATTAAATAGACCTGTCAATTCATTAGGAAAGACCATTAAATTACTATATATTAGGAAATATCTAAGACATACGAAAAATGTATTGAACTTATCAGTATATATCGTCACTATTATTAAATGTTTACATGTGTGTTTAAACTGATCAGCGTACACGCGCTGCTATACTAACTGATGAAACTATTCTAGCAACACGTCTGCTAGAATTTGCTCAACTTTGTCTGCCTTTAAACTTTAAAAATTGGATTGTGATAAATTATTGTTCTTACTCTCAGGATAACAGAATGTAATCCAGGCAGTTTGCACCAGTGCCAGGCAATCGTGAAACGGTTATTAATATAAAGGAGCTACACTATGATATATAACCACAACAGGAAAAAACATAATTTCTGGGAATCTCCCTCATTACGGAATAATTTGAAGAGAAAGTAGCATGAAAGCAGAAAAGGTGAATAATAAAAGTTATAATAAAATACTATCAAAATCTTGTACAATTAAAGACTTGTAGTCACATTAAGAAATCGACGCAAAAGAATCGGAACGGCATCTGGAGAAATTTCGTTACTAATGTCATTAATAAAAAAATATTAATTATTATGAACTGAAAAAAATGTAAAATTTTAACTGCAAAAAACAGGTCTCTGTAGTCAGCAGAAGAAACAGTCATAATTGTCTTATTACTTATACCTTATAACCCTTCTTAACTGTGATAACTGTCATGTTCACCAAAGAATTAATTTTTCAAGGAGTGTTAAATGAATCCAATCACATGATAAAGAGTGTTTACTATTTCTAATATTCATACAGTATTTTATAAGTATTTAGAAGGAGTCAATTTTGAATATATTCTGGTATCCATACTCTACAAAGAAAACATTCTGAAATAATGTCATGTGTGAACTATAAATAATTTTTTGTATCATGTGGGCAAACACTATTCTTTGTCAAGAATGTAATTGACTAAAATATATCAATTATATCTATTGATGCACTGCAATTATATGCTTTTAATGGAACATAATTGGTATTTCTTGCAAACTGAATTCTTTTTTGTAAGAAATTTTAAAGTCTTGGGTGTTATTTATAAAATACAATGATCTAAGCTCAACTATAAATTGCAATGTAATATGCGCATGTAATGTTATTTTTCATTGTATACATATATTAGTCACTAATCTAGACCTCAGCAATCAATGTGATTCAAATAAACGAAAAAATATATTAAATGTATTAGATCCCTATCATTTAGACTGCATAATTTTAAAAGACTACATGTGACTAAAAAGTATTGTACCTCAGCTTCTTGGTCAATGCGGCGCGCTGGCTTCTATCAAATAACAGATTTTTCACAATTTCCAGTTTAAGACTCGTTTCACAAATAGATGATGGAGCGAGCAAGTTAAGTTCGACAACGAGCAAAATATTATGGATCAGGAAGGAAAAAAGACACTACCATACTAGACTTTCAGAAGTTGAAGCGTTTTGATTATGTGACTCTACCTTCACAGAACAAAGGCTAGTTTTTGGGGCGAATCTAAAATCTATTAAATAGTGTGGAGGATTTAAATATTGTCAGTTTGCAAGAATTGTTAGGAAATGCCAATGCTCGCAAATCACACAGTCACCAGAGCACTGAAACATACCTAGATATCTTAGGGGAAGTATTGAGAAAATTATATGAAAGAATTTCGTAATATTGCTACCCGGGAATAATAATATGGGAGTAGTATGTTCCATTTACAAAGAGAACATTGGATAGTCATGTTGGACATTGAAATATTAAAAGTAAATATTAGGATTTAGAAGTGTTCGAGGCGGAAATAAATATAAATATAGGATATTGGAGGTTCCTAAGACAAAATCTACTTCTGATTTGGGACGTGGAAGTTCATAGAACATAAATTTTTATTTTGAAAGCGCCCCCTCACAAAATACAAGAAAGATGGACAACCAATGGTGACAGATTTTAGCAAAGCCGTAGGCCTTGAATCAAGATAGGCGGCTGTCGGGAAACTATACAATCTAAAGTGATCGATTTTAAAGGCTGCCAAAACTCGAATAACGAGTTCATGAGACACGAAAGAAAACCATCTCTGCACAAGAGGTAAAATCGAATGTTGTTATAAATTAGTTCTTCACTTTCTCTGTTATTCTCTTTGAAGTTTTTTATTATAGTCTAGGGTTTTCATTAATTTGGAGTTTTTAAATCCAGGATGCAATTTGAGTTTAAAATATTAAAATGGTTATCTCTAAATATAATTTTGATGGTTAGAATGAGATATTAAAATCATTAATTGAAGAAGTGGACTGACTATTATATTTTCTGAAGGAAACTATTTGAACGAATTCAACTAAGGTACGTGATGCAAATATGGCTAGTGCAGGCAATATGACTAAGTAGTGGCTCAGGAGTCGCACTTAAGAGTCTCTATTGGCAAGAACATGCTGAAGGCGCTCTTTGCTTATAACATCTTTCCAGATAATTTTATCATTAGTTACACCTGAAGGAGGATATATTATTTTCGCAGTATACATCCATGATTAGCGCTGTTAATAATCAATCTAATCATATTAATGTTGTTAAATTTGCTCAATATTTTATTGGGATAAATTTTATATAATGTTTATGCTGTAAATGTGGCCAAGGGTATGGAACTAACTATTAAAGACAAAGAAACTTTCAATTGCCCTCTATGTTAAACTGACAAAACAATTTTTGTAATTTTTGTATGTTTTCAAGCAATTATTGATGTTTTCAACTTTGTATAATAAAGTCTCATTGTACAAAATACTGAATTGGTCATGTGTAACACAGCAATCCTTGCGTTACTGAAATCATGTCAGGCCTATTTTTTGTAAAATTAGACACTAATAGGGTAATTCATATTATATACTAGTATAGCTAGCCCTAATTCCATTGCCATGCTACAGAAAACCAGTGAATTTGGAAAAGGCCATAAAACCTGCAAGCGGGCATATTAGTTTTACAATACAATGTTGTTGTAAACCAACAACAAAATATTCCTTAATCACTTTTTTGTGATATAGCTATTTCAACTGGAAGAAAAAGTGTTATATTACATCATGATGCTGTTAATTCGGTCAAATGTTAAAATATATACCCAGGAAAATTTAGCGTGGCTATATTACGTTTACATATCTTATATGCTTCTTTCTTTATCGTCTAAATATACTGTTTTATGGTTGTTTTAAATAAACTGGCTTGTTTTTTAATTTGTTCATTATAATTAGTGCATTTATTTTGAGGACCAACTTTGGAAATAGTGAATCCAAATTAGGCAACTATATTCTAATTTGTACCGATTGCCCACATTGTTTTTTTTATTCCTCTCTCAAATACAGTTAAGCAAACAAGATAAAATACAAATAAGGTCTGTTACACACCTTTCAGTATAATAGTTGAATATGCCGCCACTCATATGTTTTGAATGCAGAAAACATGATGGTCTCTAGTTCTGAGAGCGTCCACCAAGAGCGCTGAAACCCTAGGGACAACAACTCTTCATGTGGTAATATTCTACATCGTTGGTCCAAATAGGCAACTTTTCTCTATTTCTGGACGTTATGTTGAAATCTCTGGTTATGGATCGATTTATTAGTGTAATATGTCTGTCTGTCAATGAACCACATCATCGATGTCCTCGATGAATATTTGTTGTAGTTAAAGATAAACTGAGCGTCGGAACGTAATTAGAATTCTTCCCTTACTTCTGACTTACACTTACATGCAGGGAGATCGGTCGGGAGTTTAGATTTCGTCCCAGCCGGGGCGGTGCCCCGGGGGTAGGAGATACCTTGTTGGAGAGAACCCAGTTGGCCTACGGTAGGTCGGCGCCGTATCTCGTTATCCAGCGGGTCAAGGTCACTACCTACAAAGAAAACAGCGTGCACTACACTTACGGGACAAATGACCTTATTCGTTGACGCGCCCGATATCAATAGTAATACGTTGATCAATCATTGAGGGAAGATTTAGTTCTTTTGGTGACCCTTACTCCATTGCAAGGTGAACCAAAACTTGAAATCCATGTAAAATCAATTGAGCGCTAATATGGCCTTCATGATGATTATTTCATGACGCTTCAGTGTATAATTAAGGTTCTTACCTGAAATTGAGATATAGTATGGAGTTATATTCACTTCTAATACCATTATTTATGCCTGGGTTCAGTTTACTAACTTCAGTTCAATTTATTATCTTCAAGAACATTAAAAGGATTATTTTCGAGACACATATGTAAAATAAAACTATTTCATATTTGCCCATAATGATCCACTTATTTCACTTTGCATCATCTACATTGAATGAATGTTGTCATCAGTTATTTTTTTTTAACACAAATAAATTGTAACACTTGGACAGAAAAGTACTTTTTACTTGGAAAATTGAATTACCTACTATTAATACTTTTAATGTTCCCTTTTCAACGCAGATGAAATAAAAATGTCTAACCCCCGAAGAAAATTCATGCAATAATTGTGTACAATTATTTCCTGCAATTAACGTTTAGAAGGCCGCAATATTTCCTCTTGGAGAGCTTTAAAATTAAAGAGAATATGTTATCATCTATGATTGATGCATGAATAATGTTCTATTAAAAAAAATAATTAAATATGTAAGTGTTACGTGGGAATCAACAAATTTCCAAATCGGTGTAAAAAACACTAAAAAGAGAAATAAAATGATTTAATATAAAACCTGATTGTTATACATCATTATGTAAGGGGGAAATTATGAATTCTTTTATTGATGAAAAAGTGTTACTATTGTTCGAGTGAGCATTTTTTTACACGAATATTCGCCACAGAACTAAATTTCACACGATTTTTCAACTTCATGTAGCTTACCTGAAGTTTTGTTTTTCTTTCTTCATTTTTGTCTACATTTTACTTTTCATAGTGTTGTCTAGGAGGTGAAAATTGAGTTGCATATAATCCTACTAATTTATATGTCTAATGCAAAGATGTAGAGTGTATTGAGATAAGAAGATGATTTTGACTGTATTGTATTGTATAAACACCTTAAATAAATCTATTTCCAGAAAGTAAATTCAGGAATGTGAAAGTTTTATATATTAATTGGATTTTAAAAATGCTTCTACAAGGTTCAAAGTAATGTGACTACAAATCAATACACTCTACATAATGCAAACAAAAAAGTCACAAAAAGAAAATAAATAGTTATTAACTATATGCATTTTTATTTGGAAGAAAATCTAACAGAACTACTTACACAAAAGACTGTACATTTTACTGCTGAGAAAAATTATTAAATATTTAGATTGCATAGAAAATGTTTCAGACAAATACAATGAGACATCTGAATTCTTGGCAGTGATAGGTTTTCTTGATATGTATTTTACTTTGCTCCTCATTTAAACACCTATTGAAAAACCATTTTCCCTTGTTGTGAAGACCAGTCTTTAATTTTAATAGGCAAATCATAAACTCTTTACTTAACAAGTGTTTGGAGAAAATCTTGGCACTTGTTTAGAATAATTTGCCTATTTTGAAACTTAGCATCCTTTTCTGTTAATTCACGTTTCAACCTCATTCCAATGGAAAGATTTTCCTGTAGAAAACATCAGTTCTGGAACTGCAGACGGTCCATGCTTTTCTTCTATCATCTGAATAACAAAACATTCCAATATTGTATTTAAAATGCATTTCAAGTTTAAGAGATGGTTCGTTAAAAAAATTAATAAGATTTTGTATCTTTTAAAATAACTCAAATTTCATGTTACATTTATTATAATGCCCATGGAATAAACAGCAAACCTTGATTTAAAAGAAATAATGTAGTAGATACACAGCTCATTCTTACTCAAAGAAGTACAGTACAAAATAAATGCGGTTTCACAATTGAGCGTACTATGTTATATAAGGTTGATTTGCCATTGTAGGTTATGAGATACGTAATGTTTACATTCCTCAACAAATTGTAAACGTTTAAAGCAAAGCACAACATTTTAAACAGAGATTTCAGTTGATAACATTGGTTGTGTATGACACGAAGATGAAAGGTGCAGTGTAAATGCTTTACATCGACTTTATTACGGGAGTCATGTGACATGAAGCATTTGTGCATCTGACGCGAGGTTTAAAAAAATGCCTTGGACACGTACATAACTTGAAAGAAGGGTACCATTACATATAAAAATGTGTTAACGTAAATGAAACTTGCGAATAAGGAAACAAACTTGATGAATTCTGAGAGCATCTAGAAAATAATTCCGATTATAACTTAATTAATTGAATATAATTACAAACAATAACTAATGGTACATAGTTGCTTAAAGTAAGGATAACCCGATTATTTTAGATAATTTTAAAATAAAATATCGCCCGTAAACACGTTTTCAAAATGACAGTAACTCACTCATAATGTTCCAGTACCGGAATGTTCGATTATGTTTTGTTGTAGGAGTTCTCAAATATCAAAAAAGCAGTACAACATATTCCCAAAGAGACGTATCGCAACGTTTAATTTGTATCTTGTAGTGCAGAGCCAAATGACGAGTAAAGAAAAACTCTTAGAAAGCAGTACTTGAACGGAGTTCTGACGGCCCTTCCGTCACAAGAGCCTCTTGACATATCCTCTAAAGGTGACATTCGAAAGCTACGCTATTCGAGCGACGTACCTTAATAATTTTGTAGAGAAGAGCATTAGTAGCGCAATGACGACCATGAATATGGTAGGGGCGACGATTGGGCAAACACCATTTCGTCCATTTCACCCCAATACTAGCATCATAAGGATCCATCCTTGCGCTTTGCTCGTTTGCTGAAGACAATACGAGTGCTGCCCAAAGGAGTCACTGGCGGAAGTCCTGAGTGGGAGTGACGGCGTGCAGTACTCCGAAACGATGCCAAAGACATGGACAAAAAAGCGCGTTCAAGAAAACTTGTCGCCGAAAGTATAAAACATCTTTTAAGTAAATAATAAGGTAACTGATTGATTATTTCGAATTTTCGGGAGCGTCAACTGCTAAGGTAATTAGTCCCGTATGTATAATGCTTGTTTATCCCGTGATATTGCGGTGTTCCTCCGGCTGGGACATAAGAACCGGCGTACCAGCTTGTATGGTTTTCCACTTTCAGATATCTCTCCCAGCGAGGTATCCTCATATGCCGGGATATGCTGTAAACACCGGATTGGTCTCGCAATATGAGGGTTTGTGTGCGTAAGGAGAGAGGTAGGGAAAGGATGAGGAAGGAAATATCGCGCTCTTTCCGAGGCCCATGTTTTAAGGAACAACTACGGCATTCGCCTCGTATTGATCGGACAAACGACGGAAAACTATCGATTAGAACTGTGATCGCAATATTTCTTCTCCAGAATCAATTACGTTATGAATATTATAATTGTCTTTCGTTTTCTTTCGTCTTTTCTTACTTTTAGTATACAAGTTGAAAATAAATATTGTGATATTTTCGAAATTAAAACCTAGTACCTGAGATATAAGTACACTCGTCAAGTACCTCTGAGCATGAGATTTTTATATCAGTTTTTTTCCCGATTTCCTTAATCTAATCATCATGTATTCAGATAATCCCTTTTATTGTAGACGACATATACTCATTCCTCCCTCAGACATTACATGTTATAATTGTTCCTGTAAAATGAACAGCACACATTTTGAGGTCTCGGAATAAGTATATATCATGGTATAACGTCAACAATCCGTTTGAGCATTTTTCCCCCTGTAAAAATGGTTACAGGGAAATATTGAATTAAATCTTTGTAATGCACTTAACACTGCCAAAAGAACAATGCAATTGAAGAAAGGGAATTCATCATGAGACAAGTTTTTTTTAGTTTAGTTTATTATTTACCTCATATATTTCCGAAAATATTAATAGAAACGATTTCTACGAACTCACAAAAATAATGTAAATGCTTTGTGAGTAGCTTGGGATCACTGTGCGACGTGGGCGAACGGCAGAGGAGGGGGAACAAGGTACGTGGAGGGAGAAGCATATGCAGCGCTGTCGTGGCAGATCGTGACTGGACATTCGCGTCAAACTCACTTCTTAGTTCGAAATCCGTACCCATCATGTTTGCATAATTTCTGCGGATACATCAAATTGAGTTTGTTTCTTATTTTCAGATTTCAACCGTTTGTTTCGTTGCTAATTGTATAGGCCTATGAACTTGAGTTGCGTATTGCATACTACTTAAGCAGTAAGGTTGGATTAATCAGCAAGCCGGCCGCCAGAGCACGTTCTTGGAGGTCCGGTCGGATTGGAGCACTCATTAAACCTTATATTAGCATTTATTTTGGTTAATTGCGAAGTGTATAGTGCTTTTAATAGCAAGTAGTGGAGAGCATTCTGGCATTCATAGTGTTTTCCAACCATCAAAAACACGAATGTTTATTAGTGAAGCAAATTAATGACTCGTATCTTCTATTATTATTATTATTATTATTATTATTATTATTATTATTATTATTATTTACGGCCGTGTCAACATATAGGTCATTAGCGATCACTAATGCATTTAACGGTATGGTAATTGTGAGGATGAGATGATGTGGTGATGATAGGGGGTGAAAGGATGAACACAATACAACTATGCCCGATGCGGGACTGGAACACGCAATCCTTCGGTCTGAGATCGCTACGGCACTACTGCCTTCACAATCTCGGCCATCCAGACCAGCCACGCGAATGTTTATTGAAAACTAGAAGTAATTTGCTACATCGCCACACGGCTGCTTCAAACCCCGCTACGCCTCATTACCCCTCACCGCGCATCTCTCCCGGCCCCGCGGCGACTATTACCAACACCCCCTCTACTTACATCTGCAATCCATTCACAAGTGACAGAAACGCTGGCGCCTCAAGACAAATGACGAGAAGTCTGCCCAAGTTACCTTCACTCTGAAGCACGAAACATGCCCTCCTATAAAAATCGGATCACAACCTATTCATCAAAAGGACTCAGCAAAATATCTTGGAATTACACTGGACCGAAGACTTACATGGAAAACACATATAAAGAGTAAAAGAAAAGAATTAGATCTCAAAATTATCAGATTAAACTGGATATTAAAAAAAACCTATCCTTAAGCATCGCAAACAAAATTCTTCTGTATAAAGCATTACTGAAACCTGTCTGGACATATGGAATACAACTTTGGGGAGCAGCTAAAAATTTAAATATTGAAATATTACGTTTCCAATCTAAAAGCTTAAGAAAATTTGTAAATGCTCCTTGGCACGTAACAAACGCCACAATACACCGAGACTTACAAATGACTACAATAAAAGAAGAAATTAAGAAGACCAGCGCAAAATACTTACGACGACTACATAACTATCAAAATATTTTTGCCATTAACTTACTAGACAATAGTGACACTACCAGACGACTTAAACGATATCATACTTTAGACCTGACATATCGACTTTAAATTGTTATATGTTATTTTCTGTTTTATTATTGTATATGCTTATTATCTTATATTTTTAGTATGTTAGTTTAGTTATCAGATATGTTTAGTGTGTGTTAATCTGAAAAAAATGTAATATTAGGAGTACGGTCAATGGACCTTAATCCTCTCATGTTATTAAAATTGTATGTAATTTTGCCAAATGTGTGTACCCAAACAAATTGCAAAATAAAATATTATTATAAAAAACCCTCTAAGGTTGAATGATTCCCAAGAGAAACCATGAAAAACAACCGATTAGAGCAGCTGGCCGCTAGAGTTCTCGAAACAGGGGCTGAATTTGACGTAGCCATCTAGCTAGTGTCGATAATCTTGCCACACCATCTGGACTTGAATCCAACGGCATTGCAGTGACTTCGATAGATGCCCTGAGCCTTCTAAGGGTTTCTTTATATATATTCAGTACGTCTAAGTTACGGATTAAGATCGATACATTTTTAATGTTTATTTATTTTTCTATTTGTCAGATAATGTGGATTTAGCTGGAATGGCTACGAAGGGATTATTTTAGATTCCATCTGGAGGATGTTGGAATTAGCCGCTGAGCGCTGGATAAAGGTATGTTCTTGTCGAATTGTGAGGTAGTTTGCGTCTTTGCAAGATTTTTTTTTAATTTTTTAGGGCCACGAGCAGTTTTGTAGCAGCTAAGCTAAGCAACGCGCGTTTTAGGCGAATTGAAAGTTGGTTGGTACGTTTGGAAGCAAGCATTATTGAAGTCTTTGTGAACCAGCGATTCGAAAAGTAGCAAAAAGCAGTACCAAGGGTGAAGTCCCTAAGGAGAACATTTATTTTCGTCCAGAAAAGGTAACAATGACAATCTCTGCAAGACTTAAAGTGCAAAGTAATAATGTTTGTCAATAATGTGTAGTCTTTTCAAAATTTTCTCTTCTGATGAGAACACAGCAAGGCGATGCACAGAACTTCTCTCGTCTTAGTTTCTGCAAATGCTCTCTTAATCATCTAAGCCTAATTTCTCAGCCTTAAGACTGACATTAAACTTTACATATGACATTGCGATGTTATTGAGCGTATGTTATGAAGACTCTTTTTGATTTATAATAAAATATAGAATTCATACCTATACGGTCGAAGTTACAATGAATCTGCGTAGAAACTGAACAATAATGTTATACCTCGAGTCACGTCTTGAAAATACTTAGGAATGCAACTAGACAGTAAATTGAGCTGGGAAAAGTCAATTTTGTTGTAGGGAAAGCTTGGAAATCTTTACATTTTGTTATGCGGATACTGAAAAAGAGTACAGTGAGAGCCAAAGAACTAGCATATATGTCATTAGTGCGACCTATATTAGAATTTGGCGCGGTATATTGGGACCCATACAGAATTTTGCAACAAAGGAATCTAGAAAAAGTCCAGCGTAGAGCATCAACATTTAATGAGATTGCTTTCCATTTCAAAGAGTAGCTGAAGATCAGTACATCCGAGGTCACTGAAGTCGCAAGGAAAGCGAAAGGTACAATATATATAAAATTTGATTTTTACAGGAAAAATGCATGCTCTAAAACAAGGATTGAACAAATCGATCAGACGCTATACTATCTCTAAGCATTAAATTGCTGCAATAAATGTTCCCTTCCTCAATTTTTACAGACATAAAATGCCCAATATTATATATTGTGCCTTATTAATGCTTGCTGTTGATAAATTTTGATGTTTTTTTCCCCTTTGTTTTTTCTCGTTGTCTTCATGTCTTCCATTTAAATTTCGCAACATTATATACGTTCTTTTACGCACCAGACAAAAAAACATCAAAATGTAAATTTGGTAATTGTTTTGCAACTCTTTGAGTGAACATTTGAAACAATGTATTTCCACTTATGAGACTGCCCACGAAAATTTGAAAATTCATTATCTATGACAATGGTTACTGGAAATAATTTCCCTGAAGGATATTTTAATTTTTCTTTCGATAAGAACAGTATTCAGTTGGGTGTTTCACTGTCAGATAATTACATGTCATTAGTTGCTAAATCAAGATGAAGAAATTTGTGTTCCATCCGAAATGTTACATAACCAGTCAAAAAGTTTATTCCTTCAAATGTAATTAAATATTCAAATTATTCCATTATTTCAAAATAATTCACATTAGCATTGTTTTTTTTATAATTTATTTTTGATCGGCATTTCTGCCTTTCAAGGATGTTGATTACAAGGATTTCTCGAACATTATAGGATGAACCATCCTCAGGTCGAAGTATAGGTATGTATAAGAAAAATGAACTTGAAGAGCAATAATTGATAATGTGGGGGGGGGGGGCGGAGAGATAAAGAGAGAGATTATATTTTCAGTTAGTTAGGGAATATTGCAAATGTCCCTAGGATAGCGTGAGTGGATTCTGTTTGGCTGCCTGTAAGTAGCTCGATGGTAAGTTTCTGTAGCTGGGAATTCTAGTAGTAAATCATAAAAAGTTCTTTTTTTAATTTTCAGAATATTGATCTTGAATGGGTTCCATTTGTAATTCTCTGGGTAGGTGTTAATTACTTATGAACCACGGATCTTTGGTAATTTTTCTGGGGCACTTATTTGTATAACATGGAGTTTCTTTGTGTGGCTATGGGCTGCCTTTATCCAAACGGGGCTCACGTAGGTTAATGAGGGTCTGATTATTGACTTGTTAATTATTTTACCCCACTTAATGTGAAGTATGAATGTATAATTTAGTATGGGATAGAATTTTATAATTGTTCAGTATGTTTTGTTTACTGTGCTTGAAATATGTGCTTTCCAGGTTAATTTTGTGTCTATTGTGAGTCTAGGTTCTTAACTGGTATTATAACTGGAAGCCATGGTACTAGTGTGTTTTGGATGAATAAAGGAGGATATAATTTTAGATTTCAAACGGTGAAAATCTTCGCTTGAAATTTTCCAGTTTTTAAAATAAGATTATAAATAATGTATAAAGAATAGGATACCGCATCATTACAGCCTTTCAATATAAACTGTGGTAAACCATCAGCACCGCTACACATTCTAGATTTCAGTTTTTTTTATATCAATTCAAATTTCATCATATGTGGTATTGTTGATGTTAAATGTGTTAGAAACTCCAATAAGAAAAGAATCAACAATATGGTCATTGAATGCACCATGAGAAACATAAACTGATTTGAAAATAGTGGCAAAGCTATTAACAATATCGCCATCACTATTTAATGGAATATTTTTTAAAGTCATAACATTAGATCTACGAGAGTACAGTTGATGAATTTTCTAAATAACATACCATCTCAACTAATATTTAATTCGGAATAGGTTCGCCAGTTTAGCCACCTATGTCACGAATATAACCTAAGAACGTTTCAAAAGTCTTGATTTATGCTTTACGTTAAAACAAATTCAATTTCATATTTCATCTTCAGATAAAAAATACATTTCAATCAAATATATATTATTCATCAAAATCCCCCTTTGTAAAGGTATTACTGATGGTGGTTTTCAACTTTCATTTTTGATACAGTACCACTGACTTCCTTTAGGGTTGTTAATTGATTTCCCAAATTTATACAAAATGCATTGAGTCCTGGAAGAGTCCGAAATTACTTTTGGCATTAAAAATATCAAATCAAATCATTCATAAGTTTCAAAAACCTAGATGTTTCTTCCCAATCACAATTTTATAAGAATCCCATTTTTTCAATCCATTCAGTTGCTTTAGAAACTCTTTCGGAAAAAATGTTTGCACCGGGACGTACTTTTTGTCTCTTCGACCCTTTGACTTGAAGGTGATAAGGGGTAATGGTCTGAGCAATCTGGAGTTCTTGTATAGATGCTGCCAAAATTAGCTTGATATTACATTTGATTTATTATTATTTCGTTATTGGTACTGTGGCGAGTTTTTTGGCATTTACAATGAAATAATTATATTAGTCGTCATTGTCAACAATATTATTATTTATTACAATTATATTATTACAATAGCACCTTTTGATGGCTTAGCCATCATTATCAGTTTTCTGCTGTATGGAAGCCACAATAACAACTACGTCATCTAGTCGACTAGTGGTTTTGTGGCTTCCATAAGGCAGAAAAATGATCACGATAGCTAAAGCCATCGAAAGCTGCTATTGTAATAAATAATGTTGTTGGCAATGACGACTCATAATTATTTCATTATTTTTATAACACCTATTAGTAGACCTTTATCTACATCAAAGGATAAAGCCCACTTTCGAAGGGTAGATAAGCAGGAAATGATATTTTTTCTTAAATACATGTATGAATTATCACTTACCCCTCTTAGTAAAATTGATGAATCAGTCTTGTGGGGCCCAATGAATAATATTTTGTTTCGGATTCAATAGTATCTTAATTTGACCTTGACTAATAATTTTGGGCGAAGTGGTAATCAACATATTGTGTAGGTCTCTTTCCTTAATTGTTTTTAAATATTAGTTTTCTGTTTTCAATTTATCAATTTCTATTTTCGGTTTTTTATTTTCTATTTCTAATGCAGAAACTTAATTTTTCAAATCAATATATCTTCTTGTGTATTAATCACTCTTACTCTAGAGAAAGTTTTGCACTTTCAAATTCTCTCCAAGATTGCTTGTTCCCATACGTTTTCTAAGCACATTCCCATAAGTTTTCAAAAGCGCTGAAAGCAGAAATAAATACATTTCCGGAACTTCACTGTTGCAGTCATCTAAAATGTCAATGGTCATGATATCATCTGAATTGTCGTCTAGCATTTCTGTACATTTTGCATGCATTCTTCTTTTCCCCACCCTGTCACTTTTTAGCACAGATTTGTCAGAATTCTTTATTTCTCTAGTCAATTCTTCGGTCGGTGATTAATGGCATTATGATTTCTAGATCTTTCAGGATTTTAACCTAATACTATTTGTTTTAGGGAACCATTTTATTATCTTGTTTAAAATGAATTGAACAAATTCGCTCTATATAATAAAATCAATAATATTAATTATGGAAATTATTTATTTATTAATACATATAAATTGTGATGTTGTCCGTTCGTTCATTTAACAGCTCTAATACTAATAGCATTTTTTTTGTCGGAATGGAAAGGACAATATGCTCCAGAACGTACCGTTTTCAATATTTGCGCCGACGGGCAAGACTTCAATTCTCCCGAATGTCACTATGTGGTGGAAAACGTTCTTTTCGCATTTTTATTTTTGTTTGTTCTGGAGTAATTGTTATTACTCACGTAACTTTTCTTTAACAGTGACTTTGCTTCCCCCTCTCTGACACAATAAACAGATGAAGGCAAAAGCTCGCAGCGAGCACTGATGACAACATTCCAAACACATCTTCACTGGCGCGAAATAGAAACAATTTTCATTTTAAGACGAGAACTTTTATCGGTTATTTTCTCCAAAAACCTAAAGAAATGACCGAAGCAGATACAGATCTATTACAGGAGATACCTCGAACTCCTGATACAGTTAGAACGCAAATTATTGAGAACGTTACGAAGGCGTTACGGATTCTTCGGAGATTGGCATTGCTTCATAAAATCTAGTGGCCGATTTCGTAACTAATACCCCCACTCTACCCGCATTTCTTGAATCCATCTTTGAAGAAAAGTTGACGAGTAATACTTGCCTTGCATACTATCCTGATGACGTCATGCGCAGACTGGACCAGTTTTCAACGCGAACTCAGCACACCATGCCTATGCACCTTACTTACAATTTGTTTTTATGATAATTGCTCAGTCATCTTTAAACGATATAAGTGCAAAGAAAAACTGATCGTTTTACTGTCTGAAAGATAAATAGCTTGCATTTTTATTAGTAGTTAATGCATGTTTGTGGTTGCGATCTGTTTGAGACAAGACATGAACAGTGAACTATTAACATCTCATAAATGTTTTGATTTAGAACGCTGAATATTGGTACGAGTGGCACTGATTTACTTCCATTTTATTGAAATCCAAATAATAAGAAATACAGCTTCTAAAATTAAAGCGCCTTAATTTCAGGTGGATGATATTTCGACTGGCAATTAACGCTTCTAGAAATCATAGAATAGACAATGCAGAGAAGTCTGGGAAACTAATCTAGGGAAATGGGGCACTGACTGAGTTTACATATTGTGTCGTTTTTGAAAGGATTACGTTATTACCATAAGGTATACAAAGGTTTTTTGCACAAAAATCTTTGGGGGATGAACATTTTGAGACCTTGGCAAAATCCGCATTGAAATCTTAAGTTCTCTTGTTTTTAGCACTCTATTCAGAAACATGGCGTGGCACAGCATTATTTTTTGATATTTAGAAGATAAATGAAATGCATCTATTATATAAGTTTAAATCCAAAGATGAGAATAAATAATACCTAAATTGTCGTTTAGGTAAAAACAAGTGAATGTATAAAACTGAATCTATGTTGAGTGTTTTATTTCAATGATCTCTCACTTATTCTGTTTTAAAAAATGCACTTATAACAAAAGTTCACTGAATGCCAACCACTAATTTAAAAAAAGAATTTCACATTGTGTAATTAGAATTCTAGAAATGCAATTACCTTGACCATTTTCTTTTACACGCTACTGTACCTTTTCAGGAAGTGCTAGTATATAAAAACAAAACTTACATTAGTTATAATCCTCATTGCTCCAACTACAAAAAATACTCGCCGCTCTCAGATATACTATTTAGTGTCAGAGGCGAGTTGTACAAAATTATTGACAGTAAATTTTTATAAAATTGTTTAATGCTTTTTTATATTAGCCCACTTGTCATTAGCCACCCACAAAACTTGTGATAACATACTTACTTAAAGAACTTCCAAATTCATTAATGACATAACTTATGTATGAAGCAATAGGTTGAGAACTTCATTTATTAATTTTATTTCATTCGGTAGGTGAAAAAGTCTTACAAAACAAATTGTCCATAAATTAGAGTGAAGTAAATTTTACAGAAACAACATAATATTGACTGTTTTTAATTATAGAATTTTTGAATAAATTGGTTTATTACTGTTGAATAGTTGTTATTCCAAATGTTTGAAAAAGAAGGGGTTGTCATTGATAGCATTCATGAAGACAAAAGACTTTATTTAGCCAAGTTTCAATCTTACACAAATGGAAAGCACCATTCTTTGAAAAGTATCAAGTGCTTATGGTCTTACCATGCTTATTTTATGTTTTACTTTCCTTCTAAATATTTGCGAAAAGGACAGTATTCTTCATATTTTCTGAAAGGAAAAATGAAATGAATTCACAATTTTTTACAACCAGAAAATGAAATATATTACAGGTTTACAAACTTATTTGTATACCTTCCTCTTTTCAAGAAAAAGTCATTACTGAGTATTATCTCCAGATCTGGAAACGTCAGTCTGTAAGAGAACAAACAAACATTTACTAATTTTCTCTCTCCCTCTCTGTCTCTCCCATATACTATTTATTATTTTACAACTCCTGAGAGGAAACTATTTCAGCATCCCTCAAGATCAGTATAATTCACTTTGGAAAAAAAAATTTTGTACCCTTCTCGGTACCCCATCGCGATTGAGACGAGATGTCCTCCTCCCGGGTATTAAAACACACTTTGATACGTACTCTTAGTCAAACTTTTTTTTTAATTCTAATGGTCACAAGTTTGATTTATGCATTTGACAAATAATACAAAAAGTAAAACTTTTTTACCCTTTTTTAGCAGCATTCTTGGATGTTCCTGCTTGACCTCTTCCTGCTCCGCCGTATTTTGATTTTGATTTTCCTGCCTTTTGTCGTTTCTTTTTTTGGTTTGACCATGCCTTGTACTCAAACGGAAAATAGAACTGACGGTGTGGTATAAATCCATTTTCTTTCATCAACTATAAAAAACGAAATGTACCTGTAATATTTGGATGCCCAGAAATCTAAGCAAATTTAGATTTAAATATTTATATAAGAATAATAAAGGACTTGTGGAAAGGAAGGAGCATAATTTCTGGATAGCATCGTTTTTCACTGCATGTCCTGGGCTCTCAAGGACCTTATTTAGAATTGTTAGGTCGGTGCTTTTTACTTCAACATTCAGTTCTCAAATCCTTCCAACAAAATTATACTGGAAACTGTGTAACATAAAACGGCAATCATCACTTGTTATAATGGTTTCGAAAGTTACGGATTTTAAAAAAAATTATTATTTTTCGACATCTTCATGAAGGTCGAATTTCAATATGTTTCCTTTTGAAACGAAGATTATTTCATCACAGCCCATGAAATATCAGCGGTTTATAATAATATTCATAATAATTTATTGCTTGACTTACAGAAAATATCTAGCAAAGTCAGAAAACTAATTATTTAAAATTACAATAAATTAGCTACATTATTTAACAATATTCACTTACAGTTATGTTCTAAATTGTGTTACAATAATTAATGAGTTTACATTATCTTTATAAATTATATGTTAAAATATATAAAATTGATTAATATAAACAAATTAATTTAAGTTATTTATCATCATGCAACAATAAAATTGGTTTGCAGATTCTACCCCTGCGCACAACTTTCATCATTCTTTCCAGTCATAAGAGTGAATAAAACTTACTTGATAAAAGTCTGAAAGAGAAAGGGAAGCGGTCCCGAATCCAGAATGCTCTAAATAGCGAATACCACATACTTGGCACCAGTCCTGGGATAGAAGATAGGCGATGTTCACATCGTATCGTCTCACCATTGCAATTACCGCCCGAGACGTAAATACGTCTCACCGTCACTCGGCTAAAATGTCGTTTGGAAAGCACAATGGCGCACAAGACGGCGAGCCCAGAGGCAGAGGTGTGTTCACACCGAGCCAGAATATAGTACAGAGAGTCTCTCCCAGAGTGCCTGTCCCTATAGTTTCAGCGCTCTTGGTGGAGGCTCGTCGAACTAGTGGCCGCCATGTTTTTTGAAGTCAAAACATAAACGAGTGGCAGTGTAACCGTCCGTAACCAGCGCCAAACGTAATACTAGAATACTTTGTTTCCCAGCTTTGACTGCAAAAAACGTGGCTTCAATGTGCTTCAAAGATGGAGCGGCTTCTGCCACTCTATGTAGTATATTCTAGCTCGTTGTGTGTCAACCTGCAACTTTTTCTCAGTTTGTGTTTCTCAGATTGTATTTGCTCACTTCTCCGTGCGGTGCACTTGACATAACTTGGGTATTTTTAAGACGGCGTCACGCTCTTGTAATTTTTAGTTTCCAACTCTCAAGTTCTGCAAACTTTCTGATAATTTAGTATTGAAATTTTTATTTATATACATTTCATTAGATATTTCCTTAAGGCACTATCAAAATAAGGATACATTTGAAATAATTATCCTTTTCATGCATATTTTTTAATTATATTTTACAATTTAACTTGCAAAATTTGAGATGCTGTTTTCTAATCATTAATATAAATTATTGATATTATGATATACTTTGGTCGGTTAATATTCCACAATGTTGATTGTAAACGATAGCATTGTTTTGTATAGGTTCTGAGAGCACCTGCTCTAACCGTTTAAAAAAATATACTCATAACATTTGCCACGATTAAACATCAAATTCTTATATGGATTTCAATTGGGGTCGCATTGGCCTACTATCTGTTTGTTGTTTATACCCATATCAATAAATTATTTTTGCCCCTTAAATTTCTCATCTATATGGAAATATACGTGATATTGTTTTCTATAAAATTGCCAGAAAACCATCAAAAACATAAAATTAGAAAGTAAGCTACTCAAATTCCCTGTAACCACAACCTCGTCTACCTGTTCTTACACCTTCCATCCTAGAATTAAACCATTTCAATGTTTTTTATTTAATGATAATGATGTTAAAATAATTTTCAAAGGCCAGAAGTATTCTACTTTAATAGACACTTTTACAATAGATCTGACAAAATTAGCAGTTGGTGCTGAAGATACTTTAGGCAAGATAAATGACAACAATAAACTCAATTCTGTAGTTACCCTTACGGAAACATTCTATGGTTACTATAGGAAATTTTCTATAGTTGAGTTCTATAGTAACGATAGAAAATTTCTAGATTAAATTGCGCACTATAGAACTATAGAAGCTATAGTTACTATAGCAAACCCTGAAGTAGAACTAGTAGAGAGTAGAACCAGTAGAGACGGTAGATCGGCTGCAATTGTTGCATTTATAGCGCACAATACTTTTAAAAAGTTTATCCATATCATTCTGTGGACCAAAAATGGATACTGCATGTGCTGCAAAAGAAAAGTAAAGAACTTCTTTGTTGAACGTTTATTAATGAAAGAATCATTATTGAAATAAATTGTAGCAAAGAAGTAATAATTTCAAACTTAAGAATAAAATAATTGGAAATTATGTAATAAAGTTTAACATATCAGTGTAAAATGGATAAAAAGAGAATTTTAACTCGAAATTTTCCTTAAATTTATTAATTTTTACAGTAATTAATTTTTTTTAGAATAACAAAATCTTGGTGTAATAACAGAAATTCATTTGAAGAAATATATGTGCATTACTTACATTTAACAACGTCTAGCAACTTCTTATCCAACTACAGCTGGATGTCCTGGGCAGCTGGACATGTCCTTTTGCAGCTTTTGATTTGTGGGCGTTGGAGATAGTGCCCGTCATTGTACACGTCGCCAATGTTTGTTTCCCAAACACAAGTAACAGAAAGTCTGTTACATATTTTGAAAAAGTTGCCTTGTTGCACTTCTTCAATCTTTCTTTATTCACTCTTACGCCTGAATTTGGCATTAGTTCTATTTCATTCTGAAAAAAGCAATAAATTAAATACTATAAAATTTTCTTTAAAAACTATTAAAAATTACTTCATCAGGATCCTGGAGTTTCAATGTGCCCGAACTAAACGACTAAAGTATTGTGGAAAGTCATAAATCAGAAGTTCGGAGTCCCGTGTAAAAGTGCCATTGCTAGACCGACAAATGAAAACATGATAGAAGAATTCACTAATCGTTCTGCAACTATCATACAATATTCCGCATATGATATTATAATATTATGAAAATATAAAAATAATATTATATAATTATGATTTTCTTATTTATTTTAAAGATTCTGCCTACAAATATTTTATAACTTAATATAATTGTTAAGAACTCTATAAAAACATAATAATTCTAAAATATTAATTTTCAGAATGTAATATTTTAGAAATAATTATTTAGGCGGTCATAGATAATATTTTAGAAATCTTCATATATATTACTGTAATATTATAAAAATATTAATAACATTGTGTCTTTATGAGGATCGAATATTCTACACTGCCTGTATTTTAATGAATGAAGACTTAATCAATTTTAACATTTTATTGTAGCAAAATACAGAAGTTGATATTATTGCCAATATCATTGATAACATGTTAATTGACATATTTATTCTTTTTGTAAATTATATTTAAAAATCGTTGTTAATTTATATAATTTAATTTTGTTACAAAATTTAAATTTATCATTTATTATTTTGCATATATTAAGTTTAAACAAAAAGCATAAAGAATACACAGATTAAAATTATAAATATAAATATCCCTACAGCTGCTAAACCGGTATAGTTATCCGGACTATAGACCATTTAGGCAGTTCCATGATCACCATAATCTTATAGTCAGTCCTGGTCACGATAGGTAGTTCTGCGTAGTCACTAAAGTCCTTTAGTCATCCTGCATAAAGTCACTACTGGAAATCTATAGTTACTAAAGTCCTATAGTCATATTGGCTATGGTCACCACAGGAAATCTATAGCTAGTAAAGACCTATTGTCATTCCGTCTTTAGTCACTATAGGAAGTTCTAAAGTTACTACAGTCTATAGTCAACATTTCTATCGTAACTATAGAGAGTTGTATAGTAGCTATAGGAAGACTTAAAGCTTTGTAGTTACTATAGGACTTTCTATCGTTACTATAGAATATCCTATAGTAACTATTGAATTTCTATAGTAACTTTAGGTAGGAGAATAGGATTTTTTCCATAAGGGTATAGATTGTTCTAATATTCTTTCTGATGAAAGCAATAGATCTATCCATAATAATTGTACAAAACATAGAAAAAATTCTGTATTTAAATTAATATAGAATGTAAAAACCAATAATTTAATTATTAATAAATCTGATAATGTTAATACTGTAGTCATATTGAACCATATCCACACACTACGAAACTTCATACAGGAAACTGTATTCATTATTCTACGTAAAGACCTAAATATTCATAGACTTCTTCTTTGAACGTTTATGTTAGAATACCATAATTTCTAGCACTTCAATTTCAGAACCAAAGAAAAATATTTAAATAGTTATGAAGCTTCAATGCCCCAGATTATATGGTTTCATCAAACTTCATAAAGAAAACCTATTAGACCTGTAGTTAGCTTCAGTAATTCTTGTATTTCACCTCTGCGTAAATTTATCGATTACTAATCTTATCTTTAAGTTCAAACTCAATAACTCTTTTGATCTCTTTCAGGAAATTAAAGAAATAGAAATACCTAATAATTCCAAATTTGTTTCATTCGATGTTAACAATATGTTCACCAGCATACCACCCTCTGAAGTACAATATATTTATATAAAATACAAGATGAATTCTAAATCCTTTTATAATGTAAAACAACTTTTAATCAACTTTTAGATAACTAACAATAATTAAACATTGATTATTTCAAATTCAACGACAAAATTTACAAGCAAACTAAAAGACTGACTATGGGTTCCAACATTTCCCCATTATTTACTGGAATCTTTAGGGACCAGTTTGAAAATAATTTATTTAATGCCTTTACTCCTTTGCGTAAGAAATTTAAGTATTATTTTAGATATGTTGATCAGGGCCCAACGGGCTCCCAGTAGTTCTTAAAAAAGTATTAAAGACTAAAAAAATGAAATTAAAAAACGTATAAAACGTGGTGTATGATTAAACTAAAAGCAAAATATTTGCATAAGGAAGTGATGTGTCGCGCATCAGTGGATAATATTTATAACATGGGATGTTGCTGGTTGATACGAGAATGCCCCATGAAGCTTAGTATTCTTAACAAAACTTTGCCTTTAAATGTCGGGAGGGGGAGATCGGTAGGAGAAAGAATAAGGTCCCCCCAAATGAACACGTGTCCAAAGCTATTAAAACGGCCCAGATGTTGATACCATATCTCAACTCTTATAGACTTAATCATTTCTTTACAAAACAATGAATATAATTTTAATAAATGTAACTTCAAATCAACCCCGTAGTACGTCACACAGTTGTTAACTGTTTCTGCAGTAAATAAATAGATATATTTTTTAGAAAAGCCACCCAAAAAGATATTATCATCCTTTTTAATTCCAACTATATCTCCCAAAATAAATTTGCTGTTTTCCATACGTTGGTTTCATAGATTTTTTCACATTCTTATGTTATGTTATGATTTCGCGGTAGTGAGTCAATGCCTTCACGTGGTTCACTATAAGCACAAGAACCAAATACTTTTATAGCGTTGCAGTGAAAATACTGAGCATGAGCAGCTAGAAGAGCTAGCCCGCAAAAAGTACGTTTGTTTGGTGGTTTGTTTTGCAGGTGAAGAAGGGCGTTGCAGTCTGTATCGGGCGGTGTCGGTAGAGGAGAGCGAAGCCTGGCATTAACAGCCCCGCAAGCGGCAAATATGCCCCGACCGCCAACGGGCGCGAAGTATTACCTAGATTATTTCTGTTTTGTATAGAGGATGGTTCAGTCCTCGTTGATAATACTCAGGGACCGTATCTCATGAAATGTACAGACTGATTTTGCCAAAATTGGACACACTTCGTCGTTCAGTTTTGTACAAAATTAACGTAAACATTAGACAATGTGCTTGTGCTCACCTGAGCGGGCTACGGCGAGTGAGCGAGCGTCTTCACCTAGCGTTAGGGCACGCCACTTATCTGATAAACTCAATTACTTATACTATCCGAGAATCTCGAGAAGCGAGCGCTTGGCAAATAGCCCGCGAGGTGGAAATAGTAAAACTAAATCGTACTATCCTAGCTGGTAAAACATAACCTCTACAGTAATTGAATCGTTTCCTTCAGAAAACCGTCAGACTCCAAAATCTAAAACACACAGTAGGGACGGATTATTGTTGCAAGAGGATAGACACATCGTTTAGAGCATATTTATATGAAAACTATGCATTTATCAACTGCTTTGATAAATACAAATATTTTGAAATCTGAAATATTCGGACACTTGTTCTCAGTTTTCTCGAATTCAGAAACCTGAGCTTTGATGGTTTTCTGAAATAAACGATTCAATTGAGTGGATGGGTAGAAGAAGGGCGTTACTCGAATTATGGCGTTTATCCATAAAATGTTCTTTAGGTGACTTTCTACCACTCCACCAAATGGTACTGCGCCAACTTCAATTGAAGACGTTTGAGAGGCTTTTGAAATTCTAAATTGCACCCTTTTTTCGAACCTTCGTTACCTCTATGATCTTGCATCATTTCGTTTCCCGATGTTTAGATCATCGACAGGATGGCTGTGAGTACAGAAGATGTGGATTTGCCCATGTATCTGATTTTTCATCGAATGATAGTGAGTTTAAGCCTCTAGATGATAGTAATACATCTTCACATGCTTATTTACGTAGTGATGAAAATAAAAATAAAGGACGAAAAAGTAAAGTTTTTCCGAAAGTCAGAAAAAACGAATTCATGAATCTTAAAAAACATGGATGAAAATGCATATTATTTTGTATAAAGATAAATTAAGAAATTAATGCACATTTTTATTGAAGAAACTATTTATATCAAATTAAGCTTGTTCTATGGAATAAGAGCATAATCCATCATTTTTCAAATTAATGTAAATTCACATATTTGAGCATTTTAGTGCATTTTGTATGTTTAATCAGTAACTAGTATGATTTTTCGTGAGATATATTCGTAGCTTTTAAATTTATGTGAGAAATACAGCTTGTACAAAGTTTTTCTTGAATATCTCAAAACTGTTTTTTCTGAATTACGCCCTTCTTCCACCCAACCCCTCAATTATTACAGTATTAAATAATAATTTATTCGTATCTTAATTTTGAAAAATAAGGATTGCTGTTGGCAACAGTGTTACATAAGCTACCGAAGCGGAGGAAGGATAATTCTTCTGGAAGATAGTTTTATTTCTTTAAATTTATTTTTGAATCAACGATCGCAAACTATCAAGTAATTAATGTTTCTTACGATCTCAAAACCTTCAGCCTTAGGCCCTCTTTTCCCTGAGCCCGCGTCCATTGCGGGCCCGAACGCTACGCCAGTATGTCTTCCAGGTTCTGAGCAGCGCGAACGCCCTGCGGAAGCACACGCGCGAGCACAGCGGCCGGTTCGAGTGCTTGGAGCGCGATAGAAGCTTCTCAGAGAGGAGCACGCTCCTGAATCATATGTACTAGCACCGCCAGCGGTGGCCCTGGCAGCTCACTACCCCTCCCCAGCCGATGCCTGGAGAAGAACTGTAATGGTCGGCTGCTCAGGTATGTACTTTTGGTGTGGTTCTGTAGCGTAACGAAATGAATTGTGGGGAGTCTGGTAAGGTATTGTTGAATTACATGAAGAAATGAAACATGTCACATCCGTCAACTTAACAGGTTTATTTAGAGAGTAGGCTGTCGAAGGCTTGCCGTCATCATCAGTCTACAAACATAAAATACCAAGCAAATGCAAAATAAGACAAAGTGGGGAGAATTAATATAAATAATAGAAACATTTAAATTTATAATAATTAGCCAATTTAATTACAAAGAATGAAATGTAAGAGAGGTATTAATATAGATACCAGTATAAAGATACCAAGTCAGTCAGGAGACAGTACCCAGAAGGAAAGTGACTATAGCTTTTGAAGTTCCGTCGAGGGGTCGGAGGAGGTCTGTTTTTTTATCTTGGAAAGGTCTCAGGAGGCGGTGGGGGGGAGTCTGTGTGAGGGAGGCGTAAAATTATTAGCTGGCTCCCGACGAATTTAAATGTATCTATTATTGATATTAATTCCCCCTTTTTGTCTTATTTTGTATTTATTTGGGATTTTATTTATATTTCATTTTGTTTATATTCGTAGACTGATGTGATCTCTCTAAATAAACCTATTAAGTCGACGAAGATGACATCTTTTATTTTTTCATGTAACGAAATTAGTTAGACATCGCCCGCAAAACTTTTATCTGGGATCCCTTCATAAAAGTGTATAGCAAACACAAGTAGTGTTAGTACCTTAAAGTAATAAAAGTCTCGCCACGTAAAATAAGGCAATAATAATAATAATAATAATAATAATAATAATAATAATAATAATAATAATACCCTACGCCGTGCGATACGCGTTTGCTCGTTCTTGTTTTCCGTGTGCGAAACATTCGTAAAGATTTTTAGTTGTCTTTCGTTTTGACGTCTTTGTTTATTATTTACAACAATAGTGGTACGATACCAGAATCCATTTACTTGTGTACAAGTAAGGTACTTCTTGTTATTTGACATTTAATTTACATCCCTTTACTTGACGTATTTCGTTTCCCTCACGGGGTCTCAAAAAATAGTATACTCAACACGGGCGCGAGCTGATTCCCGCACTCGTGCGATAATATGTTCTTCAGGTGAGATAGCTTCATGATTGTGAAAGTGTCCGATTTTCTTGCGTCTTCTGCGATCAGATACAAAATTTCTTCCAAACAATCACCGGTCTTTCTAGTAAATATAAAAGCATTCCTCGTGCTTTGTGGCGTCAAGGCATGAAATTCTGCGTACTTTTTCCTTTCTAGGTCAAAATTATAGACCCGTTTCTTAAAGAGATATTAACAATTTGATGGAAAATCGTAGATAAAAAAGTAAAAGTACTGTACCGCATATGCTCAGAATGTAGTATGAATATTGGCATTTTACATCTCGCACATGAATAGAAGCAAACGCGTGTTGTTTATCGGGTGAGGAAAACTGTCAACGAGAGCTGAGACTTTCTTGACGCTGCGGTGTGAACGGACCCGCGATATTCGTCGCCGCGTCTAGCGCGGAACTTTCCGCGCCACATTCGTAGCGGATCTTCCGCGCCCGTCTGTGGGAACCTTTATATGAACCTGACGTCCAGGTGCTACCAGAAGGAGAGAGGGTGAATAGGGCAACTTGGCCCAGGCCCTGGCATCATTGGGGACCCGAATTTATTTCATTCAAAAGAAATTTTAAAAAATGTATTCATCACAAATCCAAATTTAATTCTATGTATAACTATATCTGATGCATGGAGAAATGAATTCTGTTTATGAACTTGGGGAGGAGGGAATGTTTTGTTTGAAATGAGAGGCCTCTGATCGTGGATCAACTGTCCCAGCCATCTGGTTCTCTCTGGGCGCCCCTGCTGGTGTTAAGTGCGGCGGAAGTGGCTTGCCTCTCATCACGGGTTTCTGACTCGGCTCTTCGCCGGCAGACCGGCGCGTCGCGTTGGCTCGCCGGAAGACCCTTTCAATGATTTCCACCTAAAGAGGTGGCGTATAGAGCATCAACTGATGTCGCTGCAGCGCCTTTGACCGGGAGATCCTAGGCTTGAGCCCCGACGGTGGCGGGATTTTCGACGCAGCTACAAAGCTAGGTCGCACCTAGCTGCTATTTGGGGGAGAATTCTAGGGCCCGGCTGCCCTGATCGGTGGTTTTCCCGATCAATACCAGGCGAATGCCGGAGCACTAACCTAACAAAAAGATCACGTGCGATCTTTCCTTCGTCTTCCTTATTAATTCGTATCCTCACCTCTCACCAATACCAACATGCACTACACTTCCGCACATGCCGGGAGACTGATAGGGAGCTGAGAGCTTGGCTCGGCAGGTGCAGTGCCCGCTAGTGAGAGATACCTGGATGGGGAAAACTCCGCTAGCCGACGGAAGGTGTCGCGTCATCCAGCGGGGGAATATCACTGCCACCTCTTGAGAAGGGAACACGCACTACACTTACAGAACAAATAACCTTATTAGTGGTTGACGCGCCTGGAATCGATACCAATCAATCCAGGTTTGCAGGTGACGGAATAGTTGTCCGAACTGTATTTTATACGTTCCGAATCAAGCCGACGCCTTCTGTCGATGTCGCACCACCTATTAGTGATGTGACATCGACAACAACATATCGATGTTTAAAATTAAATCAATAGTAATTGACCAAAAGGATCACGTTCGTTTGGTACAAAAGCATAAACAATGGTGCCACCACTTTTTATTTAATACTTTAACCTTTACTAACAAATGGTTGTGAGAATTTTTTATCTACGAACAAAAAACATCGCATTTAATATATAGATATTGGAAACGGTAAAATACAAACATGGAATTTTTGACATCGATGTCGCATTTCAACCACGTGCCACCTCAAATCACAGAACGAGAAGTTGCTGCATTTCGATTTCAACCTGCTTTAACACTTCACTATTTTTTAATTAATGAAATATGTATTTTAATAAGTGAAATTCCTAATTTGAAAGTTCTTGTTTCTGATGGCGCGTGTGTTCCAAGTTGGTTTGTAGCCCAGATCGCAAGCCATATAATTGGTGGGTTCCGTTAGTAAGGTGCATTAATATTTCATCTCAGCTTTTGATCACTGTTTAATTTTTCAACATATTTTGATGTTTTTTTAACACATTGATTAGCACAGAAAAATATCGCAATTTTGGGTGTATCAGTACATAGCTTCCTCTATACTACGCAAATAGTATACAACAAAGTAAAAGTATTGTGAAGAATTTTGTCCAAACTAGAGATGTAGCTATTGAGAGGGGCACTGATGTAGTGAAGCTAACTTATTTTTTTTACCGATTTTCTTTTCTTTTTTAGGACACTCCGGTAAACGTTGCTTGAGATTTGTGAGACTCCTAGTGATATCTGCATACGGTTCTGCATTGAAGAGAACATACGATCCCGGATCCCGCATTGAAATATTGAGATGTTTTGGAAAACGACATAATTGAAAATCTTGTAAAATTATAAACAACATTCGGACGTAAAGTTTGAACTGCAGATTTCATCATCATTTGGTACTATTCAGAATATTTCATCGTCAGTTAGTTTTAAAAATGATTTTCAATGTGGAAAAGACTGCAACTTTGTGTAAAGCAATTATGAGAGTAATTATTTTCAAAATAGGAAAAAAAATCCCAAAATACTGGCACCTTTCGATTACTTACAATCTGCACGTATCATTGTATTTAAAATAAATACAGCAATGATAAAGTTCATACAAATAACATTTGAATATCATTGTTGTATTTAAAATAAAAAGTTAGACTACACCACTGTTTCACAACTTGTGTAAACACTTTGTATCATGTAAAAAAGTTTCTTCTACTCGTCGGAATTCATTACTAATTACTATTTGTACCTTTGTAAATACAACACTTTCGAGGATGTATCTTTCAAAAGCATCCTACACACTTCCCAGCATATTTCAAATTTATTAACTATAAGAGAAATGAAAAAAATTCAAAACCAAGATCGGAATATAACATTATTATACAATGAGATTATTTATGTATACAAAGACGAGTTAGAGGAAAGAGAAAAAATGTATTGGTAAACACCATCATCATATGTAACGTGTTTCAAATAAATTAAAATTATATAATAATATATGGATCTCTTTTAATAGAACCCGATTATGGGAACAAGTCAGGTTCCTTGAAAAGTTATAATAATAGAGAAGATATTTAATGAGAATTTTTCAATATCTTACAAAAACATTTGATTTTCTATAAGTATATAGAGGATCATATATGCATAAGTACATTATTTTTACACAGTCTTTTTGGCTGTCCTAGTGGCGCCGTGACGTTGGTTGAGAGGCCAAAGTTTCGACTGACATGTCGCAGGCTTCCCCAGGGCAGTGACACAGGTTGGTTCGATGTGTGTGAACCGGGCTACGTGTTCCTTCAACACTCTCAGGCAGATTGTTGATCTGCCTGGACACATCAGGTGCCAATCTGCGCATGTAGGGAGAGAGAGAAAAAATACTATTACATCTATGTAAATATACATTTGTTTTCTTTTTTTATCGCTAGAATTGACCGTCTGACAGCGACTGAATTCGACGTAGCAGTCAAAAAATCCGGCCACCGTAGGGACTCGAACTTTAGGACCAGGGCCCGGCAACTCTCTATCAAAATTGGGGACAAAGCTCGAGGTTGCTACTATAGGAAGCGCTAGTGTCGCCGGGTGCAGCTGCAGGTTAGGCTCGCCAACATTCCCACATACAAATTGGCTAATTTGTGAGAAATACGAAAAGTGTCTTATAAATGTACAATTATTCATAATGTCTACTTGTAAGAAACCTCTGAAGAAAGCGCGAACGTAGACGTTATCTTTTGTAACATTATGATCCTGCTTGCGACCCGCGAACTCACGCAGCAGTCACGCACGTTAAAAGTATCGTTGGCAGCAGTTCCTGTTTTAGTTCCTGTAAAGAAGGTGATGCAGCAGAGCGCGCCACCATAATGGTTTCCACCACGTTATATGGGAGTTATAGGGCCCTGTTTAGGACCTTCTGGTAAGAGGCTCAGCAGTTACATCAGTTAGTGTATTGAGCCATCTCAGCTAATAATTTGGTTTAATTTCTGCTTTTACGAATAAAGCCTAATTTCCAATGAATCTTAGGTAAAAATTCTTTGTTGTAGAACACTTTGTTAGAAAAATGGCAAAAAAAGAGAAAAACGAATTCGATTGATGTCTTTACCAACCACCTAAACGAGGCAATAATGATCATCAAGCCCGGTTCCTAATATAAAACAATTATCTGAACAAGAATTTTCTGATTTTCATAATTTGCAATTGATTTTTTTTATTGAAAAAATTACCAAAAAAAGTATTGAAGCTGGGAATCGAACCCTCTTGTTCAGAATTAACATATACACCCCCTACAATTTACACTATTAAGCGGCTGAATCCCCGCACTTCCACGGAGACTCGAAGCGTAACGCTGTGAAGTAAAACTCAGCGTTAGTTCACAGGATTGGCGTTAGCGCTGCAATCGGGACTGAAGGCCACGTCCTAAGGTTAGTGCACGATGTGAATGCGGCGCTGACGGAGTTTACTGGATAGCCCAGAAAGGTATTTACATGATACATTTCCTTATCATTCGAATTTTAATTTGTTTTGTGAACTGTTTTGAGAAGTAATTTAGCTAATATAATTGTTAATTTTCACGAATGATGCAAGAACATTAGCTGTATTAATTAGTTAAATTACTGGTTGATACGTTTGTTCCGTTCTGCGTACGAAAGTTTTCACCAACCTGCTTTGAATACGCTTCTTTGTGTATTAGAGTTTACTTTGAAAACGATAATAACTGTCAAAATTTGTTTAACAGAAATGTCAAGTGAAAACAAAAGCACAATGTTTCAAGTACCGTTGAAAGTCCAAGCACATTTTCAGTTTCAGCAACGTTTTAAGTATCTCTTGAAAGATCTCAATAAAACAGCCAGAAAATATATATTTTAAGATTAGGAAGGATTTCATTTGAATCAGTAATTCATTCATACATTCTCTTCACTTTATTTTCATATTTGTTCGTATGTGTAACTGCTGTGTTTACTGTGAAGCGATTTCTTAATATATATGCAAGTTACCAAACGTCTTAAACATGTGTAATAAAATATTAACATAATTGGAATAAGAAGTAAAACAATTATTACATTATAAAAAGATAATTACCGCTTTAAATAGCGTATACTTTATAATGTAACGAACAGTTTTGATCTGCTGTCGTTGTGAACTATGTTTCAAAATTTGCTTTCCAAGCTGAATCAAATAGTTATATTTGCATCAGGTTTCGAAAAATAACGATTTTCTTTTAGTTTTTTTTATAAATTGTACTTACCCGTTCAAATAATGCATAGAAAGAAACTGAAAGCGGTCTCCAGAAAGAACCAAGTAACAAACGAACTCTGAAAATGTCTTAGCAAGGTTTCTTGAAGATATGTTAGAACTCAAATGCTGAATTGTTTTAAAATTTATCTTGGGAAGGCATTTTGGCAGAAAATTAATGTGATAATAAAAAAGACCCAAATATAGAAATGGTTCCAGCTAGTCAATAGACGTTGAAGGGTATCACGATGTATTACAATATATTGAGAGTTGATATTAATTATACAATCAAGTAACGAGAAAGCCCAAGCTCTGGAAAAGGATGTGAAAGCAGTATTATACAAATATGGGTTAATGTAGGGTACACGGTACACCCTCAGAGAAGCGTGGCGGCGGAGGGTGGGGGGTTTCCTTAAGCTCTCCCTCAAATTACGCTACGCGCTCCGATAGAAATGAATAAAACTTACGGATAGACGCATTGTAATGCCAGTTTACTTTCAACGTAAAGTTTTCTGGCTTCACTCGACGGCTCCACGTCTCGGCGAGGCTCGGGCCTTTGGCCCTCGCGTTCACTATAGACATCCTTGAGTCTATCCACCGCATAATTACCAATTCACTTTTATAAGTAATTACTTTTCAAGACAGCCTCCAGACTTCAAACTGCGCAGTTACCGCCGGAGCGGCGTGAAGTGCCGGTTTAAAAAAAGACTTCCGTAAGTTGTACCGTATACTAGACTTCAGCCCAAATAAGTTCATAGGAAACGGCAATAAAGACTATTGAGGCTAAATGAATATATTGAATTTCGAATTTGCAGTGTTCCAATATTTTACTGAACCTCTGTGATAATAAAATTAACTCAGAAGAAACTACTTTACTTTCGCATTATCGGATTCAACAGTAAAAACAAAACATTGGTTACTAGTGGATTACTTTGTAGTGCCTTGATATCCATTTAAGGTTTTTAATTTCACATTCATTTTTACCCTAGCAAAAACTTTAAAAAACTATAAACATCACTTTTTAATCCTCCGGGGACGCGTTTGATCCTATTCGTATTTTAAATAATTGCGATTCGCTGCCTGAAGTACCTAACTAGAAGCGGCGTAAAATTGTTGAATTCGAATTTACTGTATAATTTATTTTACATAGCAATACAATACCAAAATCGTGCTTTCTCGTATACATAGGTGTATGAAAATTAATGCTCTTGCCATAGAAAAAGGTAAGTAATAGTCTGGAAAATCGATGTCGAGGTTTCAAGAGATGTAAGTTTTGGAGTACCCAGATGCCAAAAAGTGTTCTTGTAAACGTCCGTCCGTCTGTCTTTGTGTTGGGGAAACTTTGCCTAAAGTCCTTGAGAGATTTCTAATTTTATCTCAAAAGTGACTCCAAATGTTTTCTTTAAATTTTTTGTAAGAGGAGAATAATATACTTGTACCCTTAGAAAAATGACATAGGTATGATTTTTACTGTTATCCTGAATTTTAAAAATTACAAGAGTTTTTTTTCTGCATCCTAAAACTGCAATATTGAAGATGGTGATCTTTTACTAAAATGAAAGTTGTTCTCAACTATGGGACTTGGGGACGGATGGACTGACAGCCAGATAGGCAGACAGATTAGCTGGCTAGTATAAATGATTTAATAGAATCTATATTCAGTTCTCTATTAATCTATTTATTTGAGATAAGCCATTCTTTCAATAACTTCTTAAGAAATTTATTTTGTACTGTTTCAATTTTGTTAATATATGTGGAAAAAACATTGCACCATACAAGATATGCATAAGAGAGAGAAGATCAAATAACATATTGATATAAAAGAATTCCACCATCAATCCGTAGTTTGGATTAGTTATTTATTAAAGGATACAATTTTGCAAGTTTTGGGAAAGTTAATGACTAATATTTTGAAAATGCCTTTTCAAAGATAATGTTTGATCAAAATGTAAATGTTTAGCCGAAATATGATTTTCAAGCCAATAAGAGAAGGAATTTTATTAACTGTATTTGTAGATGGACCTCAAAGTGATTTTTCAAAATATTAATTTTTTTAGTATGAGTGAAAAATGACGTATTTATAAATTTTCGAAAAACTTTCCCTTCACATTGTTTGTGACTTATTAATTGATCGAAACATAAACAATTCGACTAAAATGTATTCTTCTAGTGCCAGCATACCAACAGTAACCTAATATACAAATCACACTACAAACTATTATTGCGTAGTGAAAATAAAAGTAACACTGGTGAAAATATTTATTTTCAATGTTAAGTGTATTATCAATTATTTCAAAGAAAGTATAATAGCATTCAAAACACTGTGGAGTGATACATAAGATTAAATTTGAGAACGTGGTTGGTGA